AGGCCATTGTGGACCTAAAAATAGTAAAAATGGCCATAAATGTTCAATTTTAGGCCATGGATTTTAAGGAATTAAAATCGTGAAATATAGTCCACTACCTAAAAAATAGCACATGCCCATAAACAACACAAAAAAACTTTTTTTTTTAACAAAAAATAAAAACAAATAATTTTTTATTATTCGGAAGGAAATTTCGATCTTGGTACTTATCAAAATTTTACCCATATATGAGTATATTTAAAAAAAATAGTCTATAAACAATAATATATGTATTTGTTTTTATATTTTCAAGAAAATGTTTAATTAATTTTATTGTGTTGATTTTTTATATAGCGAAAACGTATAAAACTATACATTTAGTTTTTTTTTGCCATACAGTAATCATTTGCTAATTACTTAATGTATGGACAGCCACAAGTTTGATGATTTGGCTTCAATGTATTTTTAGGAAAAGTATCCCTAAAAGGAAAATAATATGCAATTAAAGACGCTCTAAATCCTTCGTTCAAGGACTAGCTATTGTTATAATAAATAAGTGGTAAATTTTGTGTCGATCGGATTAATAGTTTTATAGTAATCGTGTCCACCGCAAAGGTAATTTCGAAAAAACAAGATTCTGAGATAATCGCGTTTAAAGTTTCAAGTTTGTAACGGCCGATGTGCAGGTAGTGGTAGTGCGCTATAAATAGCTACCACTTCGGTTCTAATGCTCCGATCGTTCTGAATTTTTGTAAGAGTATTCTCAACAGTATATATCAGTATATTTTCATCTATCACAACTGTATATAAAAAATAGTCATAAATATGTTAGCTATGCTGTTAAATTAACAATGTTTATCTTATCCATATTAGATGTTAGCTTAGTAAGAGAGTGCGGCGTACACATAATATTTTAATAATTTTTATCTAATAAAAAATTTTAAAAATGACTTTATGTGTCGCTTAGACACTTGTACTTAACAGTGTCTGATGGTGTGACTGGTAAGGTGTCTGCCCCTGAAGCGAGAGGACCCCGGTTCGAATCCCACTGGTGCAAATGAGTTGAAAGTTTTTTTCAGTTGTAAAATTCATTTACTAATAACAATAAAAAATAAATACAACAATAAAATTAAAAAATAAATGTAAAAAAAAAAATAAAACATGTCTTGTACTGGACTCGAACCCGGTTCAAAATAACCGGGAACTGGCATAGTTTCCTCTGGGCTACGCCCTTATTAAATTTTCGAGTGGCTAACTGCTTTTGTAAGTTTAGATGAATATCTAAATGCTTAAATTTTTGGGTAATATGGACTTTTTTTAAGACCATCATGGCCTTAAAACAAGTCAGTGTGTTAGGACTTAAAACAAGTCTAAGATTCCTTAGGTCCAAAATTAGTCCATATTACCTTAGTTTAAGTCCATTTTTTGGGTTTTAAGTCCATATTTTTTTCTGGGTGTAGTTTTGGCCTTCCCGTAAGCTGTTACTCAATGGTTATAATAATTGTCTGCGAAAGCCATGATGAGTTCTGAGCCCTAAATCTAGACAACATTCGGTTGCATTTAGACAAATATTTTTTAATGTGTGATATGAACGTGTTAACTTTTTCCTCGATTTCGTTAACCTGTGACATGCTGACTTCATTCACATTTTTATACCCTTGTAGAGGGTATTATAATTTCAGTCAGATGTTTGCAACGCAGTGAAGGAGACGTTTCCGACCACATAAAGTATATATATTCTTGATCAGCACCAATAGCCGAGTCTATCTAGCCATGTCCGTCTGTCCGTCTGTCTGTCTGTCCGTCTGTCCGTTTCTATGCGAACTAGTCTCTCAGTTTTAAAGCTATCGCGATGAAACTTTCCCGAAAGTCTTCTTTCTATTGCAGGTAGTACATATGTCGGAGCGAGCCGGATCGGACCACTATATCTTAAGGCTTCCATAGGAATATTCAAACAAATAAAAGAAAATTAATTGTAACTTTGTAGGAAGTAGGCGTTTTGATTCTTGACTACTTAAAAACAAAATACAAATAAATAGAAACGCTGAATCTGGAATCCCTGGAACTGCACCGAGTGAGCAATTTGTTATCTGCAAGGGTATATAAGCTTCGGCTGGCCGAAGGTAGCTTCCTTTCTTGTTTTTTTCTAAAATCCACTTCTTTAAGGCAGAGGCGTCGCGTCCATTGCTCTCCCAAATCTCCAGAAATGTTAAGCGGCAAAACTTATATTCGGCTGCCACATTTCATTTTTTTGAAAAGTGGCAAAAACGGGCAAAGGAAATTATTAAGGTACTAATCTATATATTTTTACGAAGAACATACCATTTTTAGTTACTCGCAGGAGCGCGCGGCAAATAAGTTACACTTCACGGAACACAGCTACAGTTGTTAAATTTTAGCTATAAAAATACACGAACAACAATTGAACAGACACAACAAAACACATAGAACATCTAGAACCACGCAAAGTTTAATCTACATACCTGTACGATTATTTTCCATATTTACAAATTACACTAGTTTACAGCCAAAATATATAAACGCTGGGACCCTTTTTTTTCGTTTACTATTAGGTCACTGAACACGATGAAGAAAAAAAAAATTTTTTCCAAAGAATAGTTTTGGAGATATTTGAAAAAGCTAGATTTTTGACCACTTGTTTTATTAAATGTAACAGTTCTCAAAAACCGATGGTCCAAAAAATTTTTACCTGGCACCTTTCGAAAGGAAATAGATGCACCTTTCCGAGAAGGTATGGCGCTTTGTGATCGGACCAAAATTGATGGACATATAGCGTCTGAAAGTTTCAAAAAAGTTTCTTTTTTGGCTTTTTTTTTTCATAGCTAGTTTTCAAAAATTTTTTAATAATATTAATAAATATTTCTAAATTATTTTGAGTATGCAGATCTGAAGGGCCGTTAGTCCCAAAAAGTTGAGGCCGAATATTGGCAAATCGGGTGTACAATCTAGGAGATATGCATAGTTTAGTAAAATGACTCAAAGTCATCACAAGTCAGCAGTGGTACCAAAAATGTTTTTCAGGGCAAGTCGCCCGTTTAGCGATTTCTAATTTCGAGAAACGATCAAAATAGTGTCATTTAATGTATGTGCACTAAATTCAAAGACATTTAATTTGTTTAAAAAAAAAATCGCGAAAGAAAATCTTTCGATTTTTTCGACAAAAATATGGTTTTCTGTAAACACCTAGCCCCCAAAAACATACAAGCATTACTTTGACATTGATCCAAAACATGTACACAAGCCATGGACTCCAAAGTCAATTTGCCGCACATGTTCGACAACATTACTTTTGTTTAAAAGTGGAAAAGAAGTATACCTGAAGTTTGGAAGGCCGGTTCTGTGGAGAAATCCAATGGAACATGTTACTGATTGCTACTTTTGATTAACTACTGTTCGGGGTGGAAAATTTGCGAAAGTAGTTTACCCCGACGTAGCTTCAGTTTCCAAAGTTGAACCACATTCCTTGCATTTTCCAAAGCCAAAACAAAATGTACCAGTTCATGAAGAGACGACTTGTGATTCTAGTGAATCTGAAAATTCGGAATCTGAAAATTCGGAATCGGAAAATTCCCTCATGAAGCTTATTAGTCAAAAAGATCTTAATGACTTGTGCCGAGACTTAAATTTGTCCAAAGAAAAGACCGAAATTCTTGCTTCCCGATTAAGAGAAAATCTTTAGTTTTTGAGAAATATTTTCGGGGTAAACTACTTTCGCAAATTTTCCACCCCGAACAGTAGTTAATCAAAAGTAGCAATCAGTAACATGTTCCATTGGATTTCTCCACAGAACCGGCCTTCCAAACTTCAGGTATACTTCTTTTCCACTTTTAAACAAAAGTAATGTTGTCGAACATGTGCGGCAAATTGACTTTGGAGTCCATGGCTTGTGTACATGTTTTGGATCAATGTCAAAGTAATGCTTGTATGTTTTTGGGGGCTAGGTGTTTACAGAAAACCATATTTTTGTCGAAAAAATCGAAAGATTTTCTTTCGCGATTTTTTTTTTAAACAAATTAAATGTCTTTGAATTTAGTGCACATACATTAAATGACACTATTTTGATCGTTTCTCGAAATTAGAAATCGCTAAACGGGCGACTTGCCCTGAAAAACATTTTTGGTACCACTGCTGACTTGTGATGACTTTGAGTCATTTTACTAAACTATGCATATCTCCTAGATTGTACACCCGATTTGCCAATATTCGGCCTCAACTTTTTGGGACTAACGGCCCTTCAGATCTGCATACTCAAAATAATTTAGAAATATTTATTAATATTATTAAAAAATTTTTGAAAACTAGCTATGAAAAAAAAAGCCAAAAAAGAAACTTTTTTGAAACTTTCAGACGCTATATGTCCATCAATTTTGGTCCGATCACAAAGCGCCATACCTTCTCGGAAAGGTGCATCTATTTCCTTTCGAAAGGTGCCAGGTAAAAATTTTTTGGACCATCGGTTTTTGAGAACTGTTACATTTAATAAAACAAGTGGTCAAAAATCTAGCTTTTTCAAATATCTCCAAAACTATTCTTTGGAAAAAATGTTTTTTTTCTTCATCGTGTTCAGTGACCTAATAGTAAACGAAAAAAAAGGGTCCCAGCGTTTATATAGAAAAAAAATCAAAAATTGTAAACTAGTGTTATTTTTACTTTTACGAAAAAGCCACATGAAAGATGCAATGTTTAGTAATTTAGCAATCAATCAGCCGACTTTGTTATCGCGTGAAATTCAAATCGCCGCTTTTAAAAATTGTTTAAAAACAGTTTTATTTTATCCAGAGTATTCCTAATTGGAAAATACATTCAATTTTTTATATTAAAATGATAACAGTCAAGCGAGCAGCGACAGGAAGCAGTGACTTGTTGTCATATCCATTCTGCAGAATTGAAGAAGTGCACTTGAAGAAAGTTCCCATTCCCAGACTTATGAAAAATGCACAGTAACCAAAATTGATCTTTTTGTAGTTTTTAATTCAGATCCGCAGGATCCGAGCCGAATCTATAATTTTTTTTTACGAAATGTTTATATATATGTGTAATTCTTGAAAACTTTAAGCTTAGGCTAATTACCAAATGTAATATCACGCACATGCTACATTAAATACAGTAACCAAGTTTTTGATAAACTTTAGCTACAAAGTTAAAGTTAAGTTCGCTTATCTTATACAAAATCGTCGTATCTCATCATTTTGTTTATAATCTTATTATTTATAACCTCCTTTACATTGTTAGACCATAGAAAGTCGTAGTGGTTCCAGTCGTCAAATGGAATACGGTATAGCTCAACGCATGGTAAGAGGGAGGCCAAATACTCCACGTCCTTCACTGCAGACATATAGTCATTATCGCTGTAGTACATGTCTACGCAGCACTTAATATTTTGGACGTTGTAAGAGGGAGGCGTGGGCTGCTGGTAAATGATCTCGTTTTTCGCACGTCCATGATCATACTGCCGGAAGTCGCCAGAAATGTAAAGCTGTAGGTAATGGATTATCTGGCTGGTAGACGCCCCTGCTGGGTGCGTTGAACATACATCCTTTAGCAGTGTCTGGAGAGCGATATGTCTTTTTTTGTTTATTTTCATGCCATTTATTTTTCAGCAGACTCTCACCTGGTTTAAATGTCTTGATCCCCAGCCTCCGATGAAGTCCAACAGACCAGAGCACAGGAACTTTAACATGGAGCCCTCTGAACAGACGTGCCCACACATCAGTTTCTGCACGCTCGTGATTGGTAGTAGCTCCTTACTACCTAAGACCCAGCTTAGGATAGAAGGCGATCCCAGGAAAATGCCACCCAACTTGGACAGGATAAAGGAGTGATTGCGCATGTAAGCTATTGGCGCCAGTAGGTGCACGGAACGCATCTTCTCGTTGTACCAAGGCAAAGAGGACATCAGTACGAAGAACGTGGTGGTGCCCTGGGAGTGAGCCACGAAGTGCAGAGAGTTTGATTGGCTTACCGCCAGCGCATAGTCTAACATGGCCGCGAGGTCATAGACCCCTATCTCGTGCCAGCTGAAACGCCAAAAGTCAGACGTATCCGGATGGATATGCTTGTGCTGGCGAGAGTATGTGTTGCCGCGTGCGTTTCCGAGCCACACGTCGTAGCCGGCGTCTGCAAACATGTAGGCCAGCGATGTCTCTGGACCGTTGATAATCCAGTCATCTGAAGCACACAGGATGCCATGCTGCAAAAAGACCACTGGTTTTTCGGCCGTCTGGTTTTGATGATTTCTCTTTGGGGACGTTGGAATTCGGTAAATAGTAAGTATGTAGTCATCGGGGGTATGCACCGTGTGCTCTTCTACAGGATAGTTGTGGTTCAAAATTAGTGAAGCCTGTTAAAAGATATGAAAAATACAATAGTGGTCAGATTAAATATAATTTAATTTAAATTCACCTCGTACAAATTCCCTAAAGCTTTGTATAGTATTTTATATATATTTTTATACCCTTGTAGAGGGTATTATAATTTCAGTCTGATGTTTGCAACGCAGTGAAGGAGACGTTTCCGACTACATAAAGTATATATATTCTTGATCAGCATCAATAGCCGAGCCCATCTAGCCATGTCCGTCTGTCCGTTTCTATGCGAACTAGTCCCTCAGTTATAAAGCTATCGCGATCAAACTTTCCCAAAAGTCTTATTTCTATTGCAGGTAGTACATATGTCGGAACGATCCGGATCGGACCACTATATCATATGGCTCACATAGAAAAAATCAAAAAAATAATAGAAAAACAAGAGAGAACGCTATAGTCGGGTTCGTGTCCCGACTATCTAATACCCGTCACTCGGCTAAGGAAAGTGCGAGGGAGATGGATATATAACATTTTTTTGATTGCGTATAACTATTTAATGAATGGTCCGATTTGAAAAACATTTCGATAGGTATAAATATACACAACAAAATTGCATTTATATTTCTCGGAAATCTTTAAAGGTGTGGCCGCCAGACATATTTTAAAATCGTTAATGGGCGATTGTGGGCGTTAGAGGGGGCGTGGCGCTTGGCTGAAATAAACTTGCGCTGCGTAGGAAGTCCAAGAATATGTGTGGAAAATCTCAACCTATCAAAAAATGTTGTATATCCATCTCCCTCGCACTCCCTTTAGCTGAGTGACGGGTATTAGATAGTCGGAACACCAACCCGACTATAGCGTTCTCTCTTGTTTTGTAATTAAATACGGTAAATGATATTTTAATGGAATTAAAACAAACTAACTTTTTTTGAGAAAAGTCGCTCTTTGGACTTGTAGACACACTAACTGATTAAGCCATACACGCATGACATTTCGTAATGCACTAATAAGGTTTATTTTAGTGTAACATAATTCAAATACAGTGATTATTCAAATATATATTGCCTCGGACAGATTAAACTAAGTTTAAAATAAAACTAAATCATCACCTGGCAAACAAAAATAAATTTTCCGACATTTTATGTCGAACCTATGGCGCAGCTGTCTATGCTCGGGTCATCAGTACAACGGGTAAGATCGCTGTTCACTTGGTAACGATCAAATTAAAAGTGGCGACGGTAAGGGTCACTTCATTGCCCCGGCTAGAACGGTAGGGAGCGTTACTGCTAGCAGGGCTAATGAGAGATCTATCTTTCATTCACATAGAGATATCAAGGGTTCGATATTTAGCGGACTCGACTATTGTGTTAAGTTAGTTGGCTTCCAACTTCCTCCCGAGATCGAGAAAATGGTTATCGACTGGCTCGAGGTAGAGATGCAAAACCATCGATGGTGGGTAAATCGATGTTTTCACAATCGATGGTTGATAACCTCGATATATCGCTTAAACCATCGAAAATTTGTTTCGTTTTTTTTAATCTGCCCATTGATCCAATTGCTAATAAAATGATTGTTTTGCTGAACCTTATACTAACTTATATTTATTTCACGAAAAATTAAGATCCATGTAGAACAAAACGAAAAAAAATAAAAAAAACTTCAATCCATTTCTTAAAAAACTACACTACTACTACGAACTCTAGGTCATGGTTGCTTAAATTTGTGTGTCTGAGAATTGGTTTGTTCCAAATTTATGTGATGTCTTAGTTGAATGTGATGGCTATAATTTGCATCGCAATATATGTGAGTAAAAAGTTAAGTTCCACGTTTATTTGTAAACATCCGACTAGCAGTGTAATTGATTACTTGTTTGTAGAAATTAGATGTCGAAGAAATGCCGATAAAATGCTAATTGGATGTATATACCGACCAAATTGCCGGATTAACTATGAGCAGTTTTTAAATATTTATTTTCCCAGACGTGTCATTAAATTATTAAGACGTTATTATAACAGGAGATTTTAATAGCGACATTATAAAGGAGTCCCACCTCGCAGAGAACATTAAATCGCTGGGCATGAAGTTAGTAAATTCCGTATCTCCAACAAATTTTACCGAAATTCGCAACTCGCTCCTAGACCTATTTGTTGTGTCTGACACAGACAGAATAGCTAAATATGACCAACTTATTGTCCCGTCCTTTTTAAAACATGACTTAATATTCTTGACTTATGCACTTGACCTACAATACCTTGACCATGCAATAGTTTTTAGGGATTTTAGAAGTATCAATTACGACCTTTTGGACTTAGACTTTAACTTGTGCAATTGGAATAACATATATTCCCTTTCCGAAGTTGACGACCAAGTTAACCTTTTACAACACAATATTTGTTATTTATATAACTGTCTTGTACCTGTCCGTCAAAAAGTTATTCGTCCTTCTGAAAAACCATGGTTCCATAAAAACATAAAAAACCCAATACAACAGCGTGACGGAGCGTACAATAAGTGGAAGAGATACAGGTGTTTAAGGCATCGAGACAAAAAGTGACCAAACTTTCCCATATCGCCAAGAAATTTCTATTCCCGTAAATTTAATAATGCTTCTACTACTCAGACATGGAAAATAATCAAAAACCTTGGAATGTGCTAATCCAAACCACGAGCTGAGCAAGAAATAGATGTTAATGATCTTAATAAAAAGTTCTTAAGCTGCACAGTACCTGAAATCTCTGAAAATAAATACCTGAACCCACAATTTGTACCTGGAATTGACTGTGATATTAGGTTTAGGTTTATGTGTGTTTACCAGTGTGATGTCCTTCATAGTATACTTAGAATTTAGAGTGACGCTACTAGGCTCGACAACATAAACCCAAAGTTTATAAAAATATTGCTGCCAAAAATCCTCCCATACATAACGCATACTTTCAATACTGCATTGACAACCACCACATTTCCGGGTTGTTAGAAAACGGCTAAAATAATTCCAATTCCAAAATCAAACAATGATTATAGGCCCATCTCCATTTTACCCTATCTTTCCAAAGTCTTTGAGAATTTAATTGCTGATCAGATTAATAAGTTTATGTCTGACAATGCAATGCTAAACGCCAGGTTACGTAACATGTTCATGTTTTCTAAAGTTTCTGTCAAACTTGTGTCTTCGTACCTACAAAATCGTCGTCAATTCGTTGTACTGTCTAGTGTTTGAAAATGTGAATCGTGGTGTACCCCAAGGGTCTGTTCTTGGTCCCCTATTGTTTTCCTTATATGTTAATGACCTTCCCAATGCGCTGTCTGAATGCAATGTTCACTTGTATGCGGATGATGTCCAAATGTATGTGAGTCGTCCATTAAAAAGAATAAATGAGTGTATAGATGTTTGTAACAGAGATCTTGCACTTGTAAATGAGTGGGCCGGCAACAATGGACTTGGGATCAACCCATTAAAAAAAAATTGAATATGTTGAAACAGCCATAAACTTAGGTTTCACTATCAAAAGGACTCTTACCTGGAATGGTCATATAACAAAGGCTGTCAGAAAAACATATGGCATAATAAGAACATTATGCGTAACCAAAAATTGCTTGCCCACTCATATACGTTTAATGATGGCCAAAAAATGTATTGCTCCAGTGCTTTTAAGTTTTATAAGTTTTTTCAAATTGTGACACGATCAACCAAAACAAAATTAAGGTGGTATTCAATTGCATAGCAAGGTACGTATTCAACCTACCACTAAGAAATCATGTCTCGGAATTTTCACAAAAAATATTTAATGTCGACCTTAATGAATGGATAAAGATGCGTAACTTAATTTATCTCCATACAATTATTTTAGAAAAAGAACCTTCGTATCTATTTTAAAAACTCCAATTTACAGCATCTAGAAGAGCAAACAACCTAACTTGCATAACACCTAGAGAGACAATTTTTACTAAATGCTATTCGATCATAGAATCAGCTCCCCAGCCATATAAAGAATATTAGCAGTGCAATGCAATTCAAAATAAAGCTACTCTCACACCTTAAAAACACTATAAGGTAAATCAGAGTAAAATTAGAAAGCGACTTAGTTTAGTTTTTCTTTTATATATAAAATTAGTTTTAAGTCATATAATAAGTAAATATTTGCACCTATCTGTGACTAGCACACATCTAATATACTCGACGTGCGATCCTGTCGGGGTCCCAACATCGACTCCGACCATTATCTTTGTTGGCTCGCGACTGGTGCGAGAGACGTTCCTTCCACATAAAACACAGCCTTCGAGTAGTTCACTTCAGAAACAGTCGATCAGAAAAATAACAACTGAAATCTTTATTTCATGTTAGCATTTGTGGTAATTCAGTTACATAATATCTTACATTTGTGCTCTCCTCGTCTGCTCGCACGTCTTCGCCGTTCGCCAACTTTTTACAACTGCGCAACTTAACTGCGTGGCTTTGGCAGCGGAGACGTGCAAGAGAGTAAAAGATGACAATACCGCGGCTTTCGAAGCGGTAAATTCTCGAAAATGTTCGCGATCTTGCAGGGGCGCATCGGCGCCACCGCGGTTTTGGGCGCGTTGAGTACGGGGCGATGGATTGTGAGTGCGAATAGGACAAGATGCATGGTCGCGGCTGCGATATTTAAGTTGCCGACTCAACAGTACAACCTTCGCCTAAGCCGGTCGTGTTTTTCTGTTGCTCCAGAATCTTTTGTTTATTTAAATGATAAAATTTTAAATTTAATCGCTAAATTAGCCTACAAGTTCTGTGGTTCCTATACTCCTACTGTTCAAATCATATCTGAGATCGGACAGTTAATATAAACTTGTTTAATTTATAAACAAACCAAATTTTAACATCAGCCAGCAAACAATAACAAAGCGTCTGCTTTGTCACAGCAAGTATTGTGTTGTTGTTTCTATTCTCCCGCTCTCCTGCTGTACGCCTCTCGGAGCTGCCGGTTCGTTACCACTATTACGCCGCTTTGTGCGTGTCGCCAAAATTCACCGATCAGTGCAAGCCCTCCTGTTAACTTAC